CACTGCATCTCCGTCTTGGACCTTTCTGGTTTGGACTGGTTCTGCAGTTTGGCCATCTGGCAATGTTCTGCCTTGGTTCCTATAAACAAGCACAACTTAAAAACAAAGAATTAGACATGGAAAATGTTCTAGGGACTTCTCTGAGTGAAGAAAGCAGGCATCCTTATCTTGTTCCTGATCTTAGTGGAAAAGTTTTTGGCCTTTCACCATTGAGTATGATGTTTGCTGTGGGTTTTTCATATATGGCTTTTATTATGTTGAAATAGTTTCCTTTTATTCCTAGTTTTTTGAGTGTTTTATCATGAAAAGATGTTAATTTTGTCAAATGCTTTTTCTGCATCAGTTGAGATGGTCATGTGTTTTTTTCCTTCATTCTGTTAATATGGTATATTATATTGATTGATTTTCCTATGTTGAACCATCCTTGCATTCCAGGAATAAATCCCCCTTGGTCATGATGTATAACTTAACCACTACGCCACTGGGCTGGCCCCCCCTTTTCAGTTTTTGATGTCACCAAATTACATCTTTATACATTGTGTGCCACCAAACAAATAATTCTTTTAGATGCAGTCTTTTCTTAAATTTTGTAGAAAACAAGATTTGGAGTTACAAACTAAAGTTACAATAATAGTAGCTTTAGGTGAATAATTTTTTTAAACATTAGTCTTTTAAATCACATGGAAAACAAAAAGGGCAGTTATGAACTATTGTTACAATGATACTAGGTTTTACAATTGCCCATGTATTACCTTTAATGAGATCTTTATTTCTACGTAGGGCTTCACGTTACTATCTGGTGTGCCATGTTACTATCTAGTGTACTTTCATTTCACGTTCCTGGACTCCCTTGAGCATATCTTGCAGGGCATGTCTAGAGGTAACAGACTCCTTCAGCTTTTGTTTATTTGGAAATGTCTTAATTTCTTCCTCATTTTTCAAGGACAGTTTTGCCAGATATAGGATTATTGGTTGATGGTTTTTTTCTTTTAGCACTTTAACTATATCTACCTGTTGTCATCTGGCCTCCAAAAGTTCTGATGAGAAATCTGCTCATTTCTTATTAAGAATCCCTTGTATGTGATGATTTGCTTCTCTGTTGCTACTTTCAAGATGTCTCTTTATCCTTGGCTTTTGAAAATTTAATTATGTCTTAATGTGAGTCTCTTTGAATTCATCTTACTTGGAGTTTGTTGAGCTTCTTGGATGTTTATACTTATGTCTTTCAACAAATTTGGGAAGTTTTTAGGGGTTGTTTCTTCAAATATTCTTTCTGCCCCTTTCACTCTTCTCATTCTGGGTCTCCCCTGATGTGTACATTGGTCCTTTTGATGGTGTCCTGCACATCCCTTAGGCTCTGTTTGCTTTTCTTCAATCATTTTTCTTTCTATTCCTCAGCTTCGAGAATTTTCATTGCCTTATCTTTAAGTTCACTGATTCTTTCTTCTGCCTGTTCAGATCTGCCTTTGAATCCCTGTAGTGAGTTGTTCATTTCAGTTATTGTACTTTTCAGCTCCAGAACTTCTTTTTGGTTTCTTTTTAGGTTTTCTATCTCTTCGTTAATGTTTCTATTTTGTTCACACTTCGTTTTCTTGACTTTCTCCACGTCTTCTTTTATTTCTTTGAGCATCTTTAAGACTGTTGTTTTAATCTTTTTCTGATATATCTGTCATTAAGTCTTTTTCAGGTACAGATTCTGTTCAATTACTTTTTCCTTTGAATGAGCCATACCTTCCTTTTTCTTTGTATGCCTTGTGACTTTTTGTTGAACACTGGATTTGAATCTAATAATGTGTAACTCTGGAAGCAGATTCTCCTCCCTTCCCCAGGGTTTGCTATTTTTTTGTTATTGTTTTGTATTTTTGACTGTTGTAGGCTGTCTCTGTGCTGAGGATCAGACTGAGATGAAAACTTAATGTCTCCTCAGGTCTTTTCTGAGCCTTTCCTTGGGTGTGCACAGTCACTTTCCAATTTTCCCCATATATTCAGTTGATTTTGAATGTCCTAGTCTTTAATATCTGGCTCCTGAAAGGGGAAAAGCCAAAAATCATGGGGGTAGGGAAGAGCAATGGCCCTTTAAATCTCCTGGAAGTGGGGCCGGCCCTGTGGCTTAGCAGGTAAGTGCGCAAGCTCCGCTACCAGCGGCCCAGGGTTTGGATCCCGGGTGCACACCGACGCGCTGCTTCTCCCGCCATGCTGAGGCCACGTCCCACATGCAACAACTAGAAGGATGTGCAGCTATGACATACAACTATCTACTGGGGCTTTGGGGGAAAAATAAATAAATAAATAAATAATTTTAAAAAAATTTCCTGGAAGTCATTTCAGCCTGGGGTGGGGGTGGTGCTGGGGGTTGGGGGGGGCTTTTAACAAGAGGAGAAAGTGCAACAACAATGGCTGCCTGCCTTAGTCTGCACCTCTGTGATCGGAAGCAGCAATCTGCAGTTGGAGCACAGATCCCCAATATTTGGGAGAGAGTCTTTTTTGCCTACCCTGGCTCCCCTAAGCTGTGTGCAAGCTGCTCCAGGAACATGTGCACAGCTGCCTGCCATTGTTGGAGTGGGGGATGGGTGGCTGCTACTGTGGTAAGAGCCGAAATTGCCCAAACTTGACCTCAGTTTACTTCCTTGCCTTCCACTGGAAGTTGCAAGCCTTCAGCAGACTCCAGAGTTCAAAAAAAGTTACATTAGATAGATTCTCCCAGTGTAATTGTTGTCTAGGTGGGGAGGTGCGTTTCTGGTGCTTCCTACTCTGCTGTTTTCCCAGAATCCTAGATCATTGACTTTTTTTGTGTGTGTGTGTGAGGAAGATCAGCCCTGAGCTAACATCTGCCAATCCTCCTGTTTTTACTGAGGAAGACTGGCCCTGGGCTAACATCCATGCCCATCTTCCTCCACTTTATATGGGACGCCACCACAACATGGCTTGACAAGCGGTGCGTCGGTGTGTGCCCGGGATCCGAACCGGTGAACCCCAGGCCGCCGCAGCAGAGTGCGCGCTCTTAACTGCTTGTGCCACCGGGCCGGCCCCATCATTGACTTTTAAACTCAAGTCTTGTGTAGATTTGTTTTAAAAGAAAAAAATTTCTTGTGAACTTCTAATTTTGACCAAAAAAATGTACCACTGAGACACATTTACAAATAATAAATAAAACTACAAAACCAATAAAATTCATAACTCAAAATGGTTCAAACTAACATCATTAATTGAAATGGACCAATGATACTTTGCTCAAAGTAAATCACTGCTGTGAATGAGAATATGCAAGTTGTCTTTTTTTTTGTGGGAAAATATGCATAACATAAAACGTACTATTTTAACCGTTTTTAAGTATACAGTTCAGTGACATTAAGTACTTTCACGTTGTCATGCAACCATCACCAATATCCATCTCTAGAACTTTTTCATCATCACAAGTGAAACTCTGTACCCAGTAAACAATAACTTCCCATCACCCCCTTTTCAGCCACAGGTTCTTTTTTGAGTTCTGCTTATCTATCCTTTAATATGATGGCTGATTCTCTTATCACTTTGCTCTATTGAAAATACCTTGAAATTTTCATTGATACTTTGCTGTGACATTATTTGGTATTCACTTGGCAGGAAGTCATCATTTATATGTGAAGATTGCCTCTCTTTTTCATTAGTTTTGTATATTTAAAATAATTTTTGTCATCAATCCATGATAGCAAATACAAAAGAGTGTGTGGTAGTCTCTTGGATGATATAGAATATATTTACATTAATATTTTAAATTAGCGTTAAAGCAGTTTAAAAGTTTTTTTACAGATTTTATACAAGTTTTAGATCCTTAGTGTGAAGAGTACAGAGTTGGGTTATTTCCTATAGACATGGTATAAGGTCAAAAGAGCATAGGCTAATGCAATGGAATTAGAAATAGAAAAGGAAGGATAGCTATGTGAAGGAGCAGAAAGGATGACAGTAGGTCCAGATGTGAAGGGATTAACAGAGCCCAGGATGATTCCCAAGATGTGGAGCCTGAGATATCAAGGGATAGCTTTTATCATTAACAAAAGTAGGGCAATTTGGAGGAAGAGCTACTTTGAGGAAAAAACATTTGGTGGGTTATCAACCTAAGTCTACTTTGCAGGAAGAAGAGATAAATGGTTAGAGGTGTGTTTTAGGAGTTACTGGTGCAGAAGAGCTGAGATTAATCATCAAGTATTCCTCTGGAATGAGAGAATGCATATTTAGGACAGCAGAGGCAAGAGTGTTAGGGTTTTCTTCTAAGGTTGGAGGCAAGAAGCAGGGACAGTAGAGGACCCAAGATGTAAAGTGAGAATCAGGATAATTGTGCCCCAGCATCTAAGGAAAGCATGTTTGAAGATGGCAGAAGTCAACAGTGTAGAATGCAGCAGAGAGCACGAGGGCAATAAAGGATAACAAAAACTAAAATGCCATTCAATGCAATTGTTAGCTGAAATTTTACTGCTTTTCAAGGAAAATAGAGTTATATGCTCTCAGTGAAGAATGTCTGGTCACAATGTTACTTAAGGAGATGATGCTATTTCTTATTCCTTTGGAATTCTGCCCACCCCCACCCCACCCCACGCCATATTCTTAGATTTCCTGAGAATCTCTTTCTTAGTATAAAATGCTTTGTGATACTTTGTTTTAGAATTTAAAGCTATCTAATTTAGTTTGTTTTTCATTTTATGACATCTTTTAAAATCATTTGAGATGTCTTGGGATATCAGACATTTTAATTTTGCAAAGAACTCCTGTTATAATTTATTTTACAGTTGTTTCTAATATGTACAAATCTGGTAGTATAATTTGATTGGGTTTGTTTTATGTTGAGATTAAAGATTGCAGTGTTAGTAGCCACATTGGTTTTGAGAAAAATCTTAGGTAGTTTTAATGGGAAGAGAGTAAGAAGGACAAAATGGAAACGGTTTGAAGAAATTCGTAGATATTCAATGAAACCCTTTTTAGTGGTTTCTTCATTGGAGTAATTATTTCTGATGTTTGATTTTTAGAAAATCATTTCAAGAAGTTTACCAATCAGATTCTGGAGGATGGGAATCTTCGGAAGATCTGAGAAGTCATCTTGGACATCTAGAATCAGAACTTCTATTTCTAAGTGCGCTTACTGGCATCAATATAAGAAATTACTCCAAGAAGACAGAGGACCTAACAAGCACTGAGATGACAGAAAAGAGTAAGTGTTAATTTTAATCTAGAAGTGCTGTTGAAGCTTACCTTGTTATGCACATAAAATTGGTTGTCATATCATTGAATTAAAATTCTACAAGGTAACTATTTGAATGTGTGGTTGTGGTAGACTTGTTTTCCCAGGTGTCTGTTGAACATCACAGTGTCCATAAGACTCTTAAAAGCTGCCTGAGGGAGATGTTAAAGAAGACACAGTCACTGTCATTGAGTAACTTAGTATTCAAGTAACAGAGATAAATGATTATAAGAACAACAGCACCTTTAATTTATAAATCTTATAAAGCTGCCTCATGTACAGTGCTCTACTCCTAACAAACATGGCCTGTGGCCAAGATAAATGTTTCAGCAGCTGGACCATTTGCCAGAGGAGGGTTTCTGGTCCCAGTGACTAAGTTTTATTGCAAGGATCTGTGATGCACTAACAGGTAAGGGGAAGCCAATTCAGCTGTGCAATTGGATGTCAAGAACTTTGGACAAGAGTAACATTCCCTAGAGAAGGAATTGCTTTTGGAAATGCTTCCTGACTTTTCCACTGAGATAGCCCTCACGACAGAGGAGGGAGAGAGTGACCCTCAGAGGGTCTTGGGCAGAGGTTAGGCCAGGCACAAGACTTTTACTAGTGTGAAAGTCTCAGTCTTCCTAGTTTGAGTCCCAAGTTCACCCCATCTGTTGAGGTTCTTGGTGCTGCCAGTTTTAGAAAGCCCTTCTGACGATCTGCCATGGAAATGGCTTGATTCCAAGCTTTCCACATTCCTGGGTCTGCCAGGTCAGTCCCGCTTTTCCACATGATATCTAGATCATCCATCTGATTTCCAGCTTCCAAAATTAGGTTACTCTCATGTTTCTTCTTTTTGTCCTTGTAGAATTGTGCACTTCTAAAAATACCTTCGTTAGCAAAACTAGATGGTGATAAAGTCAGAGTAGTGATTATCTCTTGAGGGGTAGTGTATAGGCTGGGAAAGGGCATGAGGGAACTTTATGGGGTGCTTCAAAATTTCTGTATCTTGATCTCACTGGTGATTACATGGGAAACACATATGTAGAAAAAACATCACATTGTACACTTAAGAATAGGGCATTTTATGCATTTAAGTGTATTCATGTTATGCCTAAAAAAATACTTTTGATATCATTTAGTAAAGTTTTGAGAGATAATAGGTAAATACATGGATCCAATTTACTGTCTTCATCTAGAACCAGGTAATGTTAAAAAAATGAAAAACATTTGACAGTTATCATGATTCCAATTTGTCTAGGGTTATACTAGCATATTTATGTTTCTTACCTTAATCTTTGGTATAATCAAGAACTAGAAAGTACAAATTGTCTTTAATCCTATTTTGCAAAGGTAATCAATTTGGTGCACATTCTTCCAGATATCTTCAATGAAAATACTAAGATACACTTTCACACATGTACTCACATGTATTATAGACATTCACACAAAATTAAACAATAGTTATTTGAAGAAAATTGTTATTTGCAAGCAAAATCTTTGTTTTTTTAATTTACAGGTATAAAGAAAGTTCTACAGAGACACAGATTATCAGGAAATTGCCACACAATTACATTTCAACTTGAATTTCAGATTCTGGAAATCCAGGTAAATTAGGGAGTATGTTGTGATAACGGAGATTCTGCTGCTGTGAAATAAAAAATTCCCACCCCCTAGCCTCCAGCAGTAGCTGAGCTGAGGAGGAGTTCATGAGCGAGGGCCCCCTTGTAGCACATTTGTGCAAAAAATTTTCTGAAATATAAATACCCCAGCAACTGCATGTGATAGGATTGTTGCTGAGGACGTAGGTGCTTTATTGGAGAGCAGGTAGCAAGATGCTCCTGGGCTCCCAGTGCGAGCCCTGAGGTCATGGGAACAGTCCTGGATGCTCTCTGAGTCAGCTGATATGCCAGCCATCTATTATGTATTAGTTATCTATTGCTGCTTAACAAATTTCCCCAAAATTTAATGGCTTAAAACAACAAAAAACATTTATTATCTCACCCGTTTTCCGTGGGTCAGGAATTTGGATGCAGCTCAGTTGAGTGTTCTTGCTCAGGGCCTCATGAGTTTGTGGTCATCTGGGACCACAGCCATCTAAAGACTGCTCAGGTTTGGAGGGTTAGATGCCAAGGTGGTTCACGGTTACTCCAGCAAGTTATGCTGGACTAGTGAGACAGCACAGGAGGAAGATACTTTTGACTAAGATTTTCACATAAAATCAGGAAGTAGACAGAATGGTAACATGCAGCCTTGGCCAGGGTGGTGCTGTACAAGGCTCAGACACCTTCAGAGGCTGGCTTCAAGAAGAGTGGGATCCAGGCATAATTTTGAGAACTGACCAGGGCTGGGCACATACTTTGATAGCAGAAAGCAATTTCAACCAGTTGATTTTGTGAGCTGGGCCTATAGGGAGTGTGTGTAGAGGAGAACAGGGAAGGGCAGGCAGGCTGCCTCAGCCTCAGCTCATCAGATAAAATGCTAAGTCCTATGGAAAAGCTGCTTGCTTGTGTTCACAGTCATGTGCCAGGATTCCTCATCCTTGTCCTCAGCCACCAAAACAGCCCCAGCTTGTCCCTTTTGCATGGGACAAGAGTTCATGTCAGGTAATCAGGACCCTGCCTCCTTAGGTATCAGACAGCGACCCTGACTAGTCAAGAGTGCCTGGATCCAGATAACCTGGGCTAGAGGATTTGCTTCTTGAGACCTCTTTGCAGGCCATGTCCCTGGTTGACCACTGACCCTGCCAGGCTGGGAATGGGCTGAGGATGTCTAGGCCCCTCATCTGATGACAGAGCTCCCAGCTTGCTCCTACCTCAGAGTATTCCCCTTCAGTACTGCCACGATGACCAAGAACATCAACAGTGTGGCATTGCCAAGGCTAATTGAGCAGGATATGACACAGTCAGGGGCACGGGGATGAGTGGCCCTAGGGGAGGTACACTGTGCCCAGGTTGGCACCAGGCCTTGGGGCCATGCACAGTCACCAAGGCGATATCGTTGTCCTGCATGACCTCAAAGATCATCTGCTGAAGATTAAAACAGAACATGGGCCCAAATGGATTGGTGTCATTTGGGATGAACAGCCCATGTCAAGATCCCAGACTTCTCTTTTGTGCGGGCCAGGAGCTCCTGGATATTGTCCCATTGCAGAAGGTTGCATAATCGGACCAAGTGTATTTTCTTTCTTTGTGGCTAATGTGATCCTAAACTCAGAGGTGATATACCAGTTACTCGCCTGTATCCTGAGCTCCATTAATGGGTCAGGCCTACAGTCCATGTCAGGTTAGTGGAGTCATAGGCCTGAGGTCCAGTTCCATGTCTGAGAGCATCTGCACTGTCAGTGTATACATTGCGCAGAAAACTTCTCAGAAGCAACCCAGTAGCCTTGGGGTCTTGCAGGCTGTTTCTGCTGTACGCATTCATCTTTTTCACAGTTGCTTCATGGGTTATCTGGCGAAAAGGTAGACTGTCGGCAAAATTAGGCTTGTTCTTGGGAGGCTTGTCCACAAGTCCATCTGAAAAGAGAGAAACTGTCCTCTGAAGTTGAGGTGAGCGAGCTGCTCAGTGGAGCTGTACACCCCAGGATAGGTTGTGCCCAAAGATTGATCGGAATGCTCATTAGTGGGGCTGTGGCCTGAGAGAGAAAATAGACTGCAATATTTTAACTTGTTTTTGTTTAAGTCGCATACTGTGGTAACCTTAAACCTCTGAAGGAAAACATCAAACGGTAGTTTGATCCTATCATGAGTCAGATCAAGGATGAGGTCACAGTTTGGGGACATTTTTTATAACACAATCTGCTTCTTTTTATAGTTTTATTTATTTATTTTTCCCCCAAAGCCCCAGTAGATAGCTCTATGTCATAGCTGCACATCCTTCTAGTTGGTGTATGTGGGACGCGGCCTCAACATGGCCGGAGAAGCGGTGCGTCGGTGCGCGCCCAGGATCCAAACCCAGGCCGCCAGCAGCGGAGCGCACGCACTTAACTGCTAAGCCACAAGGCCAGCCCTAACACGATGTGCTTCTGAAGAATGGCTACTGCCTTCCCAGAGGCATTCCTAGCATGAACTGGCCCTGGGCCCCCGTAACCACCGCAATGGCTTGGCTTACTGATCTTCGGTGGCCGCCCTGAGGCAGCACAGGCAGGATCGGAGCCACGCAGACCCTGCCACATAGGCCCTGCTACCCCTGCTGTGGTGGCCATGCTCCCTGCCTCCTACTGGGCAGTGGTGACACCATCCCAGACCTCACCTCCCTGTCAACAGTATTATAAGCTGTTATTCTGATCCCCATACAACCAAAGCATGATCAAAAATTTTGTGACCGTTTAGTAATGGCCTAAAGTTATAGTGTTAGCTCACATGCTGAATGAATGAGAATTAGTTGAGCTGCACATGACAGACAACTTAAAAAATAAAGGTGGTTCAAAGTACTAGATGTTTACTAGTTCAGAGTACTAGCAATTTCTCTATTGCTTAAGTGAATTGTAGGGTAAGTGGTCAAGGGCTAGTAGGGTGGCTTCATGATCGTCAGGCTCTGCCATCACCCACGTGGATTCCAAATCATGGTCTGATTATCACTTTAGCATTTCAGGCATCGGGAAGGGGTGGGGAAACAAGGGCTCACTTTTTCCATTCAAGGACACTTTCTAGAACTTGTAACATCCATCATTTTCACCTGCATTCTGTTGGCCAGTAAGTTAGTGCAAGGGAGACTGGAAATGTAGTCTTCGTTATGTATGGGCATGTGGCCAGTGAAAAATTGGGGCAAGAGAGAAGTACAAATACTGGGAGTTTCTGTCCCATATGCTTTAGGGGATGCAGGAAAAAAAATCTAAGGAGAGCAACAGCTAATATTCTTCAAAAGACATAGAACACAGTAATTGATGAATCGCTAAAGACATGTAAGTTGTTGTTCACATTTCAAAGTATGTAGGTGATTTTGAATTGCTTGATTTTACTTAATTTGCTACAGAAAGAGCATGCTCTCCCTGTTTGTGTTAGGAACGCTCACTCTCTCTGCACCTTTCCAATTTTATGATTCTTTTTGAGACCAGACTGGTAAGCAAGATGTTGGAAGCAACCACAAAAAACTCTCAAATCAGAAAGATTTTACGGATAAGTCATGGGCGGGACTCAGAGGTTTTCTGGGAGAAGAAAGGACTGTCTTATTTTTTTGTTGTTGCTTAGAATTCTGATGCAATGGGGTGATGAGAATTGTTTTTACATTTGTATTATGTAATGGTAAATCCTCACATATTCTAGGCCTGCTTGTGTAAGTACCCCTCTAGAAATATATCTCTGTAAAATTGCTCAGTTGAGGAGATGTACGTGTAAATTCTGATTGACAATACCAAATTGCCTTCTAAAATGGTTTTACTATTTCACGTATTGAGCATATATTTATATTTGAGAATTTTATATTTAAGAAAACAGCAGTGAAGGCATAGCAACCTTATGTGTTCTAAAACATTTTTTTAAACAAAATTTCCGCTAGAGGGAGATGTTTAGCTATCAGAAAATTAAAAAGTAACCTAAATAATAAACTATCTTACTTATAGAATATTGTTATAATAAAATCATAGTAATACAATGTTAGAACCAAAAATGCCCTAAAATCATATGACTAGAGTATTGGAACCCAAAGTGACCTTACAGATTATCTAGGTCAGCCCCCTTATTTTATAGGGAAACATACCTAGAGAGTTTGAATGATTACCCATGTTGGCATAGCTATTGTTGTCAGAGGTGGTTGGAACATACAACTCTGTTCCCCAGATTTACTGTCTGATGTTGTTAGCACTGACTATTTGTGAGGAGTTGCAAGGACTTCAGAATTAACATGTGTCAGCATTCACAGTCCATGCAGCATAATACATCAGATGGGTGGGAGTTTGTGGGGAAAGGGCAGATTAGGTATGTTTTCATAACTTCTCTCCATGAAACCAATGAAATGAAAAAATGATTCAAAAAGAGGAAAATTTTTTAATTAAAAAGAATATAATCCCATATCACAGACTCCAAAGAAAGTGTACCTGATATGATGACGTTTGAACCTAAGTGAAAGAAAAGACTGAAATCGGATACGGGGTACTTCAAGAGCAGTATATAAATTCTGCAAAGTTAACAGGACCCTTTTCCTGAATGTCTTTACCCAAAGTCCTTAAGTTGTAGAGAAGAATGAGAACTGCGAACTTAAGTTAAATGGACCATGGTAGAGAAGAATGTGCTGCTGAGACTCAGGCAGGAGCTTTGAGGTCAGGTTGTTTATAAGGTCCTCTCCTCATTTACCAACTGGAGAAGACTGACTTGGTTAGCAGTATGACAGGCAGGAGAGAGAGGGGGAAACACTGTCTTGAAGTCAACTTTCCAGTGGCGGAACAGAATCCACAACCCACCAAAAAGAAAAAAAAATAGAGGGGCCAGTAAATCATAAGCTTTATGCTGACAGGATTATTTGCCTATCCTAATGCCTGTAAGGCCAAAGTCCAACACACCCACACATACTCAAACAAAAGACACGACGTGCCTCTGAGGTTGTTTTTTCTTTTTTTAGTGCCAGCTATGTTGAGATACAACTCACATACCATATAATTCATACATTTAAAGTATACATTCATTAGTTTTTAGTATATTCACAGAGTTGTGCAACCATTACCACATCAGTTTAGGACATTTTTATCACTTCAAAAAGAAACCCCATCTTCTTTATCACCTCTCAGTCCCCCTCCTTCTGCCCAGACCTAAGCAATGGTCATCTGTCTTCTGTTGCTGTGGATTTGCCTGTTCTGGACATTTCATATAAATGGAATCATATCATATGTGGTCTTTTTGACTGGCTTCTTTCACTTAGCATAATGTTTTCAAGGTTCATTCATGTTGAAGTGTGTATCATTACTTCATTTTTTTTCTTTTTTTGGCTGAAAAATATTCCATTGTGTGGATATATCATGTTTGGTTCATTCGTTCTTCAGTTGAGAGGCATTGGGGTTTTTTTTCACGTTTTGACTCTTATGAATAATGTTGCTATAAACATTCATGTACAAGTTTTTTTGTGTGTGTGTGTTTGTGTTAGGAAGACCAGCCCTGAGCTAACATCCAATGCCAATCCTCCTCTTTTTTTGCTGAGGAAGACTGGCCCTGGGCTAACATCCGTGCCCATCTTCCTGCACTTTATGTGGGATGCCGCCACAGCATGGCTTAACAAGCAGTGCGTCGGTGCACGCCCGGGATCCGAACCGGCGAACCCTCGGGCCACCGCAGCAGAGCACGTGCACTTAACTGCTTGCGCCACCGGGTCGGCCCCCATGTACAAGTTTTTAAGTGGACGTATGTTTTCCTTTTTCTTGGGTTTATATCTAGGAGTAGAATTACTGAGTCACATGGAACTACCAGGTGATAACTAATGATGTTGAACATCTTTTCATATACTTATTGGCCATTTGTGTATCATCTAAAGAAATATCTGTTGAGATCCTTTGCCCAGTTTTTAATTTGGTTATTTGTCTTTTTATTATTGAGTTGTAAGAGTGCTTCTGGAATTTCTATTTCTGATTAGATATGGTGGTAGAGGCTCACAGACAGCCTACTTGAACTGCAGCTGCTCCTAACAATTCCCACTATATCCTCGAGCAGCTGAAAAACTGAAGATTATAAACCATCAATATCCATTTCTCCAGCAGCTCAGGATACAGAAAGACAAGTCAGATAGTGCCCAGAAAAATGGGGAAGAGTCAAAGAGTATCCACTCACTCTGTCCTTAGGAAATAGCAAAAACTGCTAGATCTCCCTGTTAACAGATATGACCCCTAGAATTCAGAGCACAAGGAGAATGCAGAGTTCTTTCATCATCATTAAGGACCTATGCAGAAGTACTGCCGTGAAAGGAATTAGTAAGAAAATGGAGATAAATTTACCGTGGAAGAATTAATCCAGGAAATAAAAGAACATGCTATATAAAAACTGCTCTCTCAAATGAAGCATTTAAAGAAAACTGAATAAGAGAAAGAGCGAGTTGAGAGAATAGAATGAATAAAGGAAGAATAAGATGATTATGATGCTGAAAACTGCATTAGAAGCAGCCAAGGGGCTGGCCCGGTGGCGCAAGCGATTAAGTGCACGTGCTCTGCTGTGGCGGCACAGGGTTCACCAGTTCGGATCCTGGGCGTGCACTAACGCACTGCTTGTCAAGCCATGCTGTGGCGGCGTCCCATATAAAGTGGAGGAAGATGGGGATGGATGTTAGCCCAGGGCCAGTCTTCCTCAGCAAAGAAAAGAGGAGGATTGGCAGATGTTAGCTCAGGGCTGATCTCCTCACAAAAAAAAAAAAAAAGCAGCCAAGAGTAGACTAGGAGGATAGGCTTGAGAGAAATTGCTTGTAGGAGCAATTGAAGGAAGAGATGTGGATGACAATGAAGAGTCAATACATGATTTTTCTAAAAGCAAGAATAGGAAAAAAGTGAAAGAGAAATTATAGGCAGATATATAATAGAAGAAAATTTATTAGAGGTATGGGAGATCAAGATTTGGCCACCCTGAAATATATCTCTTTACCTTGATTGTTTTCTCTGAGGGACATTGAACCTCACCCACTAACTGCCTGAAGAATTTGACATAGTAACTCCTTCCTGAAACAGATCTTCTATCTGATGGCTGTAATATAATGTAAAATAGATGTTACGATAGAAAAGGCACCAACAAGCCCATCTTATCAGAAGTTCTGTCTCTCTGGCCACATTCTCTGGATGGCCCTGCAAGGAGTTGCCAGACAAACATTTACATTTATAAGGGAAATCTCCGCTTGTAAAGGTGTCTCCCTCTCTGTATTGGGAAGAGGGGGGATGACCTCATTTCTAGAAACTTATCAGTGTGGAAGGTGAGGCCTTAAATCTGCATAATAACCTTACTCTTGTTTACTGTGCTTTAGTGGTAATCTCCTGTAACTGACACCTCCCACCCGCAACATCCTCCTTTGTCTTTAGCTGAAGATGGTATTTAAGATGAGAATTTCTGCTATTGTGTTGAGAACCGCAGTGTCCCTGGTTTCTCCCATGTATACATGTTATTAAACTTGGTATTATTTTCTCCTGCTAACCTGTCTTGTTAATTATTTGGCCAGCCATAAGAACCTTAAGGGAAAGGGCAGAGGGGGATTCACCCTCTTCTCCAACAGAGTAAAGGAGAGAACCTGAATTTGCAGATCAAAATATTTAACAGTTTATTTAACAATCCTGATTATTGAACATAGAGCTGTTTTTCGCTTTTTGTAGTAAGTAGCACTGTAATGAATATCTTTATTCATAAGTCTCTGTCTTCGTTTCTTATTGCTTTAGGATGGCTTCTTAGAAGTCAAATTGCTGGGACAGAGAATGTGAATATTTTAAGTTGTGTGTTGTCAAAATGGTTTTATAGGTAAAAATGTCATCTCGTTGTTTTAATTTACATTTATCTTATTACTAGTGAGATTGAACATTTTTTTCCATATAAATTGTCTTTACCTCTGAGTTTTTAGTTCATGTCTTTTGCCTTGTTCTTTTGAGTTTTCATATCTCCTTGTCATGTTTATGGTAAAAATTTTCCTCAGTTTATTGTTTCTCTTTTAGTTATAAAGTTATTTTTTTATATAGATATTTTGAGTTTTTTGTGTAATTGTATTTGCTTTTTTTTCCTATTGGTGTTTGCGTAGAAAGTTCTTCCTCACTCAGTAATCATTTAAATTTTTATATTTCCTCCTAATATTTTATGGTTTCAGTGTTTACATTTAAGTAAGTTATTCATTTGGCGTTCATTTAGGTTTTTGGTATGGAGTAAGGGTCTGATTGTATTCTTTTAACAAATAACCAATATTTTCAATACCTTTTCTTGATTATCTTTTCCTATTACTTGTTGGCATTTCATTCTGTATATTTTTAAAGTATTTTTGCCTTTTTATTTAAAAATTTACTGTGCTCTGATATATAAACTTTGTTTTCTTTATTTTAGAATAAGGAGAGTTTATCTTCTGTTATTACTGACCTCAACATAATAATGGAGCCCACCGAATATTCAGAATTAAGTGAATTTGTGTCTAGGTAAGATATTTTAAAAATTTATTTTTTTAGGGATTGTTTTCACTCGACATTTTTAAGTTTGCCTTTTCTTTTTTCTTTATAAATAAATATCAAAATATCTCTGAAAGCATAACACCATTATTATGGCTTATATTTAAGCCTATATTCTTCATATCTATTATTCTTTCCTTCAAAAAATATTTATTATACATTCACTATGTGCTAGGCATTAAAATGAAAATGTGAGCAGAAACAGATATAATCCTTGATCTTCATGCAATTTATAGCCTAGTGGAGAAGTCAGATATTAAATAGTCATAGAAATAATTTAAAATTGTGTCTGTGTTAAATGCTGTAGGGAAGAGTTACATATGCTGTTGAAGCATACATTAGGAATTTGACTTTCCGGGGGAACATGGAATGATTTCCTGAAACTTGAGCTGCCATCAGAAAAACAAGTGGGCGTAAACTAATAGCTTGTGCAGAGACACAATGCTAGGAGTGAGCATGGCATCTGTGAGCAACTGACAGGAGGCCAGAGTGACTGGAGGACAAGAGCAGGAGAGTGTGGTATAAGATGAGGCTAGCAAAGTACGTAAGGGCCACAATATGTGGGGTTTGGCATAAGGATTTTGATCACAGTCTGAAGACAATGTGAAGCTATTGAAAGGTTTTAAGCAGAGCCTAAGGAAGGCAGAGTGTGACATCCTAGAAAGCATTATTTTGGATGCTGCAGGGTGAAGGGATTGAAGGGGTGCAACAGTGGATGCAGGAAAGTCAGTGACTAGCCTATTAAAACAGTTCAAGCAAGAAAAGTTTGTAGTTTGGACTAGAATAATGGTAGTAGAGATAGAGAGCTGATACATTTGGGGGATGTTTAGGAAGCACAATTGAATGGACCTGTTGTTGGTTGAATAAGAGGGGTCAGGAGTCATTGACAGGGATGACTCCTTGATGATAATGATGGCATTTGTTGAAATAGGGAAAGTTGGAAGAGGACCATGTCAGGTGAGATTGTGAGTTCAGTTTGGGCATGTTGAATTCGAGTGAATTCAACTGAAACACTGAACTGAAAATATGAAGTAGACAGCTCAGAAGAGGTATAGGCAGGAGACACAACATTGGAGTTATCTACCAGTGGGTGAAAGTTAGAGCCTTGACCAGGAATGAGATTGTCTGTGGAGGGAATATAGAGTGAAAATAGGAAAGGGACTGAAACTGAACATTGAGGAATTCTAAAATCTACTGGCGGAATAGAAGAGAAGGATCCTGCAAAGGTGTTTAGAAAAGGAATGATTTGAGAGATGGGAGGAAAACTAGGAATGTGTTGTGGACCATTAACAACTGGGTTGACAGTTTTTCTTTCACATCTCTAAAGATATCCTTCTAGTGTCTTCTGGATTACATGGGTTGTGACAAGAAGTCTTCTATCATTGTTATTTTGTGTGTGTGTTTTGGGCTGCCTTCAAACCTTTCGCTTAATTTTGGTTTTCCTCAGTTTGACTGTACTATCTTTAGGGCGTCTGTGTGAAAATTCCCAACTGTATCTTGTCAAATACTTCTGTCTGTCCTTCTTCTTTTTCTTTAATTTAATTTTATTTGTTTATTTTTCCCCCAAAGCCCCAGTAGATAGTTATATGTCATAGTTGCACATCCTTCTAGTTGCTACATGTGGGACGTGGCCTCAGTATGGCCGGAGAAACGGTGCGTCGGTGTGCACCTGGGATCCGAACCCGGGCCGCCAGCAGCGGAGCGCATGCACTTAACCGCTAAGCCACGGGGCCGGCCCTGTCCTCTGTTCTGCAGCTCTGATTACACGTATGTTGAAACATCAGATATATTGCCTCCGGGTTTGGATGCTGTATTCTATTTCTTTCACTGTTTTTCTTTCCTCTTTGCATTTCAGTTTGGATAATTTCTATTACCCTATCTTAAAGTCACAGCTTCTTTCCTCAGCTGAAGTCCACCTTGCCAATGAGCCCACTGAAGGAATTCTTCATCTCTAATATGTTTTTTATTTCTAGCATTTTCATTTGATTCTTAGTTTCTCTTTCTGCTGAAATTCGCCATTTGCTCATGCATGTTGTCTAACTTTTCCACTAGATCTTTTAACATATTAATCATATTTTTTTCTTTAATGTTTTATTATGGAAAATTTCAAATACATATGAAAATAATAGTATAATTAACCTGCACCTACTCATAAGGCACCTTCAACAATTGTCAATATTTTGCCAATCTTATTTCATCAATTCCTACACACACACACATTTTTAAACTTTTAACTTGGAGATATTTATAGATTTACAGGAAGCTGGAAAAAAACTAGCATACGAGGAGATTCCATACACCCTTCATCCAGCCTCTGACAGTGGTAAAATATTGCATAATTATAGTATACTATCAAAACTAGAAAATTGGCATTAGTAAAATCCACAGGGCTTTTTCAGATTTTACTAGTTTTTTTACAAGCACGTGTGTGTGTGTGTTCTCTGCAATTTTATCACCTATGTAGCTTCATGAAACCACCACCATATTCAAGATACAAGACTATTTCATACTCCTTTGTACTAGCTCCTTTTTTTCCCCAATTTTTTTTGTTGTGGTAAACTACATATAACATAAAATTTGCCTTCTTAACCATTTTTAAGTGTGCAGTTTAGTGGTATTAAATACGTTCATATTGTTGTACTACCATCACCACCACCCATCTTCATAACTCTTTTCATCTTGTAAAACTGAAACTCTACCTATTAAACAGTAACTCCCCATTTCTCCCTGGTTCCAGTCCCTAGCAACCACCACTTACTTCTGTATCTGTGACTTTTAATCATAGTTATTTTAAAGTCTCTGCCCAGTAGTACCAATGTCTGAATCATCTTTGAGTCTGTTCTGCTGATTAGTTTACAGTGGGTTGTTTTTTTCTTGAATCTTTGTCTCATAACTTTTTATTGAATGGTGGACATTGTCTGTGGAAAAACACTAGAAGCTAAAGCAGATAGTATTTATTCCCAGAAATGAGCACATTTCTTTTATCAGGGTGTTAGCATGAGGGTTAATTCAAGGTACTCCGCATTTGAGCTGGGTTTGGGGTTTTCGTTGCTTTCATTACCTTCAGGCACCCTGGGCTTCACATTCTTCTAGCAGTGAATTCAAATCCAAATTCAGTCTTTCTCATGCTTAGATAGAGTTTTGGGAGCTGGGCGTTTTCCTCAGTGTTCAGCTCCACTTTCAGCTCTCAGCCATCCCTCCGTGTCTGCACCTCTGAGGGGAGCCTTTCCACCCCCAGCAGCGGATGTTGATGCTTGTTGCTGGGTGTGGGGTTCATGGTGGGAACAAAGAGAGTTCTGTGTTTTCAGAGCTCGTCCTCTGGACCTGCGCCTCAGGGGTGGAGTTCCCCAGTGTTCCTGCTCCTCCACCCCAGTGCAGCCAGGCTCAGCATGGGTCTGGGGTTGCTCTTGGCTGGGATGGAGTTCCATGTCCCTCCCCTAGTGGTAGTAGACATAGGCTTGGTATTAGTGTAGGATCCTGGGCCCAGTGGGTTTCCTGCCTCTGCCATGGGACAGAGGGTTTTTGCCTCTGCCCTTCTTCCCCAAGCAGTGGATCTCTGTCGTGGTAGCAGGAGTGTTTTCTGCCCCTCTCCCAGAGTCAGATGGGTTTGACTTCTACTCCTCCCTTGGAAGCAAGGGATTTTTTCTTCCATTGCTTTGCTGCCTCCTCTTTAGTGGCTTAGGGTTTTTGCTTCCCACCAGAGAAGAGTTCTGGCTTCATTTTGTACCCAGCAGCAGCTGATCACCTCTTCATGCCTGTGCCACTGAGAGGTGCTCCCTCTGGGCTCCTGCCATGACCCCAGTCTTTCCAGTGGAGTCCCTTTGTGTCTGGGGTTCCCATCAGTTTCAAAATGACACTCTACCCCACATTTGTCCTTTAGGAATTTGTCAAAATTTTAGCTGATTTCTTATTACCCACTTGTGTGGTAGCTATTTCCCTCCACTGTGTTTAACCAAGGGTGAACAGTTTATGTGTCCTGTCTCTCCTTTGAGGGAGAAAAATTTTAATTTACTTGGTTCCCTTGTGACTCAGGTCTTTGGGCTCTTAAGGTTATGATTTTATAGATTATTCAGATTTTCCTTGATTTTAGGTTGAGAGTGGCCCTGTTTACATCCTGAGTAGAAGCAGAACTCTTTCCTGATATTTTCTCTCTCTTTATATATTTGTGCCTATTCCTGATTATTCCTCAGATCTGTATTCGAGTTCAGTAATTATTTCTTCATTTTGTGACTAATCTGCTCTTAAACTCCCATCCATTGAGTTTTTTGTGTGTGTGTGTGAGGAAGATCAGCCCTGAGCTAACATCCATGCTAATCCTCCTCTTTTTGCTGAGGAAGACTGGCTCTGAGCTAACATCTATTGCCAATCCTCCTCCTTTTTTTCCCCAAAGCCCCAGTAGATGGTTGTATGTCATAGTTGCACATCCTTCTAGTTGCTGTATGTGGGACACGACCTCAGCGTGGCCGGAGAAGCAGTGCGTTGGTGCGCACCTGGGATCCGAACCTGGGCTGCCGGTAGCGGAGCGCGCGCGCTTAACCGCTAAGCCACGGGGCCGGCCCCATCCATTGAGTTTTCAATTTCGCTGACAGTACTTGTCATTTGTAAAAGCTGTGTGGCTCTCTTTTGAATTTTCCTGTCTTTTTTAAATAAGTTATCTTTTTTTTTAAATGGTTGCTTTTCCATGTAATTATTCTAGATTATTTTCTTAGAAGTTTATTCCAGTAAAGGATAATTACTTATTCAAATTGTGTCTAATCTGCTGTTAAACCCATCCATTGATCTTGCAACCTTACTGTCAGGACTCGTCATTTTTCAAAGTTCTCGGTGTGACCTCTTTTGCAATTTACCTTTCTTCTCTTTCTTCCTCTCTTTCTTTCTTTTTTTTTTAAATTTTTATGTATTTAAATTAACATATAATAAAATTGACTTTTTTGTCATAGAAGTCTTATCAATTTAACACAAATATAAAT